ATATATATCACATATGGGACACAAACTACACCGAAAAACATTAGTCTCCTAATTAGAAAATTATAAAAAAATCAGGAACATAAATTAGTTGGATTCACTAATTAGAGCATCTAAATCATATGTATATGCAATCAGTCATATTTAATTATTTCCAAAAAAACATTAGTCTCCTTAATTCAAGAGTTTATTGTCGTGTCATCATCGTCCCTACCATCCTATTTTAATATTAATTTTTTATTTTTATTAATATAATTCAATTAGTCAATCGTTTGACCTCCCTCCTCCTTCTTCTTCTTCTTCTTCATGTCGAGTATGAACGAAGAAGAAACTAACAAAATGCTATCTATCATCACTCCGTAAAATGACCATTCGAGCATAAAGAATAGACCTTTGCAAGTCTTTAGTCGATGTCGATGATGATGTAGTCATGTTTCTCATTTGAGATTGAGAGCTCAATATTGTATCAATTAACATTGGTAAAGTTTTAAGTTAATAGGAATTAGGTTGACCTGAAAAGGACGTGAAGAGGAAGAAGGTGGCAGGTCTATTCATGCTTGCCTGGACCCAACTGAGAAGCTCGGAAAGCCACCGCGACTCCTGTCTTCTTCCTCCTCATCAGCAACATGACAAGAGAAACTTGACTGAGTCCTCCGGTTCTTATGGTGCAGGTAGGCCTCTTTCTCCTTATCCCTCCCTCATCCTCTCGCTCTCAAGTCCTCTTGCATAGACTCCAACACAGGAAGCACAGCAGCTCAGTGGTATCGGTTGTTGTAGGAGGAGAGAGAGAGAGATGGCGGACTGGGGGCCGGTGTTTGTGGCGGTGGTGCTCTTCGTGCTGCTGTCGCCGGGGCTACTGTTCCAGATACCGGGCAAGGGCCGGGTGGTGGAGTTCGGCTCGCTACAGACCAGCGGCGTCGCTATCTTCATCCACTCCATCATCTTCTTGGGCCTCGCCGCCGTCTTCATGCTCGTCATCGGCATCCACGTCTACCTGGGCTAGCTAGCTCGACCTCCGCATGCACGCCAAAGCACCAAAGCCTTCTCTCCCCCCTTTTCTCTTGATGTAAAGTGCAAGAGGGTCCTGTGAATTCATTTCACAGCTTTCTTCTCTCTCTCGATGTTTATTCAAGATCATGTGTATTTTATATCTATCCAAATTCAAACTCGATTCCAAATATATTTCCTTTTTTTTTTTGGATTGTTTAAATTGTGGATTGTGTTCTTCCCTATTTTGATTAACTAATGCTGAAATGCTTCTTGATTTGTATGATCACAAAGACCTATGTGATATCACAAGGAAAAAGATTCAAGAAAAATAAGACTTTTTATACAAAACTTAGCCTATGTTAACAATTTATTGTGTTATCATAGTTCTTAGTTAATAATAATACATTCATCTAAGCATTGTAAATATCAATTATGATGTGCTTGTAGTTTCATCTATAGATAATTCTTTTCTTCTTTGATTATTCACACACTCTCCAATGATGTTATCCAACCTAATGACCAATAATAATATTTGAGATCAAGTCAATTAATTTCTTTGTCAAATATCAATTCTCACAAAGACTTGCAGTCTGCATGATTCAGTTGGTTTCACAGAGACTTGCAAGTTTTCATTTCCATACTTTTATCCTCAAAGAGGAATATTGTATTGACTGAGCTTGATGACTATGCAATGGCACCAAACCAACAGGAAAAGGAAGAACTAAAATATTATTGTTGCTTGTCAAAGCTATGAGACCCCTCATGATTGCAGCAATAATTCTGATACATAACATATCCTGACAAGGTGTGAAATAATGGATAGAGACTTTGTCAAAATACATGTCATCATCATCTACAATCATAGTGAACTAAGGCAATGGCTTGACAACAAGCCTTACCTAACTAGACCTAATCTATATATCTAATCTGTTGGTCTTTGCTAGTTTTGTCAAATGCATTCATCCTCTAATTATTTTGTGGTAAATGGAAATATCAAAGACTCTTTTCATAAGATAAATAAGGTTAATAGTAAGGTTAACACCTTTCTATTTATGTCAATAATAACATAGTAAATAAATAAATTTAAAATTTATTAAATAAAATGATAATTTTTTTTAACATATTAGTGCTTGATACAATCATATAATTTCAAACTATACATACATTTTCAATCTAAAACTCATATATATTACAGGTCGTTATCTATATCTACTTTGGCATGGGTCCAAACTTATTCGTATCCTTACCCATCATATAGATGGATTAACAGTATTCTTACTTGTAAAATAGGATCTACAATAAGCAATAATAAGTATAAACTTTAAATTTGCGCGCATGATCGATCGATCGAATGGACGGTAAGGATCTTCCGATCACGAGAACGCCACGACGCGCGGCGCCTCAAAAAAATAATGAAAGCGAGTCCGCCATAAATCCCCCAAAATTTGCGTTTCGACTCCCCCCCAAATTTCAAATTTCCCCAACTCCACATCCCGTTATCGTCGCGCTCGGGCCCGAACTCGATCCCCTCGTCACACGCCCAACCCACAGTGACCCCATCCGCTCCAAATCCCTCTTTCAAACAATCATTTTGATGCAATTCCTGCCGTTACTCACCACCTGGACATCTCCATTCGTGCCCAAACGAGATCCACCGCAGATCGTCCTTTGCACGGCTCTTGAAGTCCACGTGTCCGTATCGTCTACCTCTCATTCGACAGCAGCCATTTATACTTTCTTTTTCCAATCTTCTCTCTCTCTCTACTCAAACCCTCAAAACCCTCGGCAACGTCTCGCGATTCGTCGCCGTGAGAGGAGAAACCCTGCCGTTCTACTGGCGGAGGCTTAGGGCTTGGATCGCTCTCTGCGGCTTCTGCTTTGGATCGGGTGGAATGGTCAGTTCCCGTCCTTTGGTCTCTCTGATTTCTCGCTTTTCGTTGCTTTTTCTGGAGTGGATTACTGTACACGCAGCTTGAATGCTGGGTTCGGTGGATCGTGTCGCTTTAGTTGTTGTAGTTGTTTGATGCTAGGGGTTCGGTTTCGTGCTTCTCCTTGTGTGATTCGCGGAAGGGACGCTGATTGTGATCCCAGCACTCGTCGAGCTCGACGAATGCTAGTGATCTGGATTTTGTTGTGCCGCGTCGCAACTTAGCATCCTTGCTCGATATGAGCGAGTAGTACTGCGCTCTAAAGAAGCTCTGATTTGCTTGAGGATTGATTATATAGATGATGCAAGGCGATGCAATACTCTCAGAATGATTCAAAACGTTGCTATGTTACATCGCTGTCTCCTAATGAACCGGGCAGTATATACGTTGGATTCTTACAGATTTCAAATGATTTCAGATGAAAACAAGGACTCTTTTTTGTGTGCTTTAATAAGAATGAAGGAACTGTAGAACATTTGGTCTGAAACTTAAGCAGTAACAGGATCTGATACAATTATAGCTTGAATTTCAATGAATAAGAAGAAAAATTGGATGACTGTATATATGATTACATTTGTTCGTGAGGAAGTGCTTTGTTTGAAATCGTGTCAAATGACTACGTGTCATAGGATGGCTGACTATTGTTCGATCGACCTTGTGCTAGTACGAAGTTCAACTGCTAGAGAACTGAATATTAGATGTATTTAATATGGATGTGAACTGTGAAAAAAAGTAATTCAATAATGCTTCTATGTTGAATTGGTAGGACTAAAACCATGCGGTGATATCAGGTGGACATGATACCCCCGCTTGCAGTGTCAAATTTAATTAGGGATATTAATCGCTAACTGAAGCTTCTTGAACAAATTGGACTGTCAGTTTTTGGTATGAAGAATAAGAAAACAGCTAAGGTTGAAATAATAAGTTTTTCTTTGTTTTAGCCAAACCGTGTAAGCAACTATCAAGATTAAGTTGAACATGAACAGAAAGATTGAGAAAAATGAAAACAAATTGGAGCCATTCTGATTTGTGTTGTTGTCTTTACTAATTTGACCAATGGATTCATGATGGGGCATTCATCTTATTTGGTGGATGATGATCGACAGATGAGATTCTGAACCTTCAATTTAAGGGTAAGTGAGATAGTATATCATCATCAGATTAGTATGTTAGGTGTAAACAATTTTTGGATAAGGTTTTGAACCCACATACCAAAACCATTGGTATGTGGTCTGATACATCAACATCACACCAATATTTTTAGATGTAAAATTAGTCAAATGAAGTTTATATTAGGATAAGCTTAATTTTTGCTGATATTAGCATGAATTTTTTTTTTTTCTGTCATACAAACTGCATCTGTTTTTCAAATGTATAAGTTGCCTGCCATGTTCTTCTTTATTGTGATGGTCCTTTTTTTTAAACAAAACTTTAATTCCAGTTGAAGGGAAGCATGGAAGGAGGAAATAGCTTATTCCCCAATTGTTATATTAGTGGTACTTTTAAAAGGTCACAGTAGTTTGTACTGCAAAATAATAGACGGAAGGACTTGGTGTGTTTCACAACTCAGAAGTTTGTTTATCAGAGAATAATGTTCTTTTTCTTGTGTACTTGTTCTTAATTCTTGATACCTGTGCTTAAGGACTGACCTACTTCATCTAGTTGTCCATTTGTTGATTTTGTAAATAAGAACATTTAGACATAGCTCTTGATTTTTCTTTAAATCTAAGACAGAATACTATATCAAACATGTGGGTCTGATTTTACTATGTATTAACAAAAATTCTAGTTGACTAACTGATGTACTGGTTGTTATAGTATCTTTGCTGTTGACAATGTTGACCATATTAGGGTTGTGACATTCCACAAATTCTAATCTGTTAAGGTTTACAAAGAAGATATGAAAACCTTATATTAGTTATAGTATTATGAATTGAATCTCCTGAAAATTTGCAGGGATGCAGAATTTATGTTTTAAAGCTCGACACTTTAAATTTAAAATAGGTTTGAGAAATTCCTATATTTTTCTCATTCTGTTTATAGATGTGAGACGATTTTAATTCATATGATGGGAGAGAATTTTATATGTTCAGTTCTTATATGATTAATAGAATTGTTCGAATTTTTCTTTTTTACAATAATAAATTATCAATATCAGTTTTATTGGAAATGCTTTATTAGGTTGCAGTAGTTGGTTTGCATGATATGATGTTAAATTATGATCATCTTCTTGACTGGCGTTGCAGCTAATTTCAACTTCTGCATGTTATTACTATGATTATAATTACTTTTCGAAGTCAAGTTCAATGCTTTTAAGCACTAAAGGAATGATGTAATCAGTGGGGTGATAGCCAACTCAAATGATGATATGTGTCTTTGTTTCGTTCGTGAGATACATGGACTTATGAAACTTGATACCAGGACTAGTAACTAGGATTTGCCTACTAGTTGACTTTTACCACAAGGTTGGATTTCAATTCCTCATATCTTACTAATCATATGTTTTGATTAGAATGATGAATTTTGTGAAGACAAATAATTTGGTTCTCTTCTTTATTCATTATGCAGTTTTGATTCCACAATGTATGATACCAGCTTAGCTAACTGTTCCATTGTTTTTTCTGCACACAATTTATTCATGCTAATTGTTTTTTTTGTCTTTCATATGTTTGCTAATCCTATCAATTTTGCATCATGAAAACTTATTGACATTTTTTTTTGTTAGGTATATAGGCGTCATCTGCATTGATCGAAGTTGCAAGTATCCCAGTTGCTTCTGGTCATTGATTTGACAAGTCTGTCATCTGATTTAGATTGACCCACAAATTTGCTGAGAATTTTATTACATCTTTTTAAATCATTCTGAGCTGGTAGGCTTATGGGACATCATTATTCTACATATTTTATACCTGAAGGCTACTCAAGAGCAATATCTTTCTTTCATCTGGATGGCTTTTGCTGAAGTTGGATATACATAGTTGTTGAGGCTCAGTTATTTTCCTCGGCTTGACAATGCAAACAAGGAAAAAAGTTCTTCCAAGAAATGCATCCAGAGAACATGCGAACACTAGATCTTGCAGACTGCAGAAAAAGGTGACTCTGATATCTGAAAAGAAAGTCACAGAACTGATCACATCATCTGCTAAAAAGCAGAAATTTGGTAAAGTGTTCATTGTCTTGATCACATTATTTCTATTGCATTGCATGAAAAGTAACTTATTCTTATTAGATAGTGGTCTGAAGTAAGTGAAGATAAGTTTTGCACGATTTTTTCACTTTATTTTAGAAACATTTAGCAACAGACATATGCAGGAGGCAAATAATCATGCATATATTGCTAGACAGAAATGTGTGTGACTATTAATTTATCAATATATTAATGTAGGCACTTTGTGCTGAAGAAAGTTAGAAGCTTAAAGAAATTACATTAGCTTCATCTGTTATGACTCACCCTTTTTATTATTTGAAGTTTCATGGTTGGGTTCTGTGTTGCCTAAGCATATTATTCATTGGATCAAGAGAAGAATAGAGTTGCCTACTTTCTCTCAGTTTATGTAATTTGCTTGTGCATTGGATGTTTGCTTTTGGAATATATCCAAGATCTTGTTTATATATGTTTTATTGAAATTAATGTTTCAAATATGGTTGCAAAATCTTTGCGCATAATTGTTATGGAATTTCTGTTTCCAATTTCAGTTAGAATACCTTCAAAACAAAATCCATATGAAGAAACTGGAAGGAATTTGGGTTCTGATTGTTGTGCGTCTCAAGATGAGAATCAGAGCTCTTGTTTTGCATATCAGACTTCCCTTTCTCATAAGGTTATTTTTCTTCTTTTTCACTGGAGTATTTGGCTTGTCTTAACTCTTAAGAGATTCATTGCAATTTATTTTGTTCATTTTGTGTGTGTATTGCAGCAAAAAGGACATTATCCAGATTTGCATTGATAGTTTTATTCTGGGATGCTCATTGATCCATAATCTTTGACTATTTTAATACAAGTGGAACCCTTTTTTTGTCACTTTTTCCAATATGTACTGATAGTCGTTTGCTCTGTGCTAGTTTTTTGCGACAATTTTCTTCACTTGGCTATCAAATCCTTTATTATTTCATGTGTTTGAATTAGATATCCCATTATTGACACTTTTTATTCTCTCTGGCAAATTGGTTTTGAAGGTGCCTTCATGTTTACAATTGGTTATGAGGCACATCTTTTAAATGTTGAAAGATGGAGAATGAAATAATGTTTTTAGTCTGTAAAAATCTTCATGAAAGAGGTTTGATATATGAGTACTGATGTTTTTCTTGTTAGTGTAAGAAAGAGCTTTGTTCATGATGGTCTTCTTTCATGTACTCTTCCCTTAAAGTTGGTGATCAGGAACCTATTTAGGATGTTAGACAAGTTATTTTCCAAATTGGCTTTTGATATATCTGTGGATCTTTTGAGTTTCTTTTACACTTCTTGAGATATAACTTGTTTCTACACAATCATCTTCCATGCATATTAATGTTGGTACAGGTGTTGCGGGTGATTGCCCTCCAGAAGGATGTTTGACCTATACAAAATATTTAATCTTTAGGTTTCAACATTAGATTTTGAGCATTCATCAAATTAGTCATACTATCCGAATGAACTTGGAGTAATTTCTGTCAATTGCAGAACCATAACATGGTAAAAAAGGATTTAAAATAATGTGCAATTGTTTTCATAACATATTATCCATTTATTTCCATATTTATAAAAAGTTTCCTATATGTTGATAATTCTTTTAGGAATTGTTTATAATCTTGGGTACTAGACCCAAGCAACTCTCTGGCTGGACCATAATGTGTCCAAGACAAACACAATATGCTTGGTACATACCGTAATACCAGAAGGGGGAAGAAGACAAGTAGAAGGAGAAGATGAAGAGTAAGAGGAGGGGCAGAAGAAGTAGGTGGAGGAAGAGGAGTACTTGGCGGTGGGTAGTGCTATGGGTGGGCATGCGAGGGAATGGTTGACAAAGATCAAGAGAAGGGTATATGGGGATGTGGGTTGCTAAAACCCTAAATAAAAATAGGAATTAGGCTTACTGGCTTGGTTTAAGAGGGTTATTGCTTGGTAACCAATGAACTGATCATGAACAGTTCACTCTTGGACTGGTAAATATTGCTGGGTAAGTACTGGTCTGCACAACATTTAATACCTTGTTTTGGGATTTCTTGTGGTTCAACATAAACAGGCCTGGGTCATGGAGCAGTTGATCTAGTTGGAAATGAGGTCCATGTGCTTGCCCAAAAGCAGTCCTGCTTTTCTTTTGTTGGCCATCCTGTATAACGATCATCTCTTTGTTCTTCAAAGTTGAAATCAGAGATGTTTTGCATTTGCATGTTAACAATTCCATGTAACTCTTAACATTGACTTTTGCATGGATGCAACAGGAGCTATCTGATGTTACCACTGCAAATTGTATGTCGGAAACCATCTTTTCTCCTGTCTTTCATCACCCAAAGGACACCTCTGGTAGCATTCTTGAGAAAGGTACTTCATTTTGTTATTTTGATAGGTTAAAAGGTTTTACCTTTATGCAAATGCCGTTTTCCATCTATATTTATGCTTATTTAACTTTGGTTGTTGTGTTCTTTGACTGAGGGCATGCCTTGGAGGTATGACAAGGTTGCTGTCTTCAAACCCAGGTGTCAAAATTTCAGGTCATGGGAATACCTATTTTATGTGCAAAACTAGGCTGCATAGATTTGACTTCCCCTATACATCCATTATTTGGAGCCTCATGAATTCATCTGTCCATAATGGAACTTGTAAACATATTTCAATATCAGTCGGTTTCGAAATGAGATGCTCTATCTGTATTGGTGTTATGTAAGACATGTATTGTTTTAGCTGATTTCTTGACCTTATAGGCAGAAATTGGTTGGAATAGCTATGGTTAATAAAACTCATCGGGAGTTGGTTGATTTGGATGAATTCTGGGCTCTCTGAGAGCCTTAAAATAAGAAAAAAGAAGAGAGGAAAGGAAGAAGAGGGAAGTTGAGCTAAGAAAAGACAAACCCCTACGACTATGACTGTGAAACTGAGACTTTATCATATTTTTTGCTATATGATATTATTCAACTCGCTGGGTCTTGGCCCTGCAGGGGATAGTTCAGGGTATGACATGTATAACTGAATGATGTATACCATTTGTATTTGTATTTTGTCGAGATTCACTGCAGTAGGATAATCTTATCCACTTTAATGCCTAAATCGATTATAGTCTTAGCTCTTAATTAATAAACAAGCTTCTCCACGGTACAAATGGTATTTTGGATTTTGGTTTTTTTTCTCCTCCATCTTTTGAATGCTGTTTTAGTTAATAGCCTTTAACTTTGCTTTTACCAACAGTTGTTCAAACCTCTTGATAATTTGAGAGAAGATGGTTGAGGTTGGTATAAACATGTCCAAAAATGTTCATTGAGTCTGTCAGTAAACCATGTTAAGTTCAAAATGCTAGTGCTGTTAAACAGATGAAGACTAGAGAAGGGTTGTCAGCCTTATATACAAGGACTTTGCTTTTAATAGGCTGAATGGAAGGAGGGGATTCATGTAAATGAGGACTATATTTGAATTCATTGTTGTTGCATAATAGCCTCTGCAAGCTTCATTTTCCCCTAATCGACTTCATATCTTTTAACATTTTTGGCAAGTTTTAATTCTGCAGTTATCTTAATTTAGCTATTTTTATGCAGTTGTTTATCTTGTATGGGAAGTTTCTTTGATGAACCAGAAGTTATAATACTTACCTTTAAATTTAAAATCTAAATTGTCGTATTTAGTGGTGATTGAAATGTGACTCTTTTTCATCATCTTCATATTATTTCCTTCTTAAGGGCCGCAAGATTAAACCTGTAATTTCTTTGATTTTTAGACTAGCTTTGTTATTGGGGAATGGTTGAACTTGAGAGTTCTCATTGATAAAATTTTCAATTTTGAAGTTGTCTATCCTGGTTTCCAGAACTGCTCATGGCTCTTGGTCTGTAGATTTATTTTTTGGCTTTTTTACTTGATTTTTCTTTTTTTTTTCTTCTTTTTTTGCCTTTTTTTGTTATATTTTCTTTACGGAATCTAGTTATGTAGATCCACAACCTTTTTGCCTGATGATCTGTTCTTATTTTGTTTGTTCCCTCTTTCCCTGCTTGCTTTTTTACAATGACCATCTTGAATTTTTTTTTTTCCAGTTACTTGAGTTGGTTTGCTGCTTCTCTGAGCATCTTTATCTTCACTCTAGTCTATCTTGGTACCAACTCCCATGCATTGTCATTGATTTTTGTTGACTTTTTCATTTTTGCAATTGGTTTCACAGAGTTATCAAAGATCAAAGACAAAGTAAATCATCATGATTCAGAAATTCAGGAATTAAAAGCTAGTTCTTTTAGTTGTTCTGAGACATTACAAACTCAAGAGATATCTATGAAGAGCAGCACTGCAGTTGCTTGTGAAAACAATGTTAACTCAGCATCTTTTGAAGCTTCAGATATTCAGAACACGCATAGCCATCCTCATGATATGGGACGACATCATGCAAAGACACAATCTGATGATGAGTATAGTGATTTGGGAAACCTTTCTTCTGAAGTTTCAGCTATATATCTTGCAATGCAGAACTCTAAACTAGAATGTGTTGATGAGCACAGTCAAGATACAATTTCGACGGATGGTTGTGTTGAGCCTGATGAAAGTGATGAGTTTGATGATTTTGATCCATACTTGTTCATAAAGGATTTACCTGATTTGTCAGCGGTGGTTCCAAGATTTCGACCCATGCTCCTTCCCAAACAGACACGGAGCTGCCCATCAACAACCCTTGTTCTGGATCTGGATGGTATGGTGAATGACTCTTCACTAGCTAAATGTGTTTTTTGGTTAGCTACTTAATTATTTGATGTTTAGTATGAGTGTCTGTCTCTCTCCTTGTGCATGTGAATGCTTCATGGTTGATGGAGATCACTATGATAATATCTGTCTCATATTTTGTTATTTGGATTGTATATTGAACATTCTGGTCTTTTTGTGCTGAACTCATTTCTAAAATAATTGTTTTTTAAGCGAGTTTTGACAAACTGGTGAAGGATGTACCTGAGTTATTAACTTGTATTATCAAGTGATGATATGACCTAAGCATTAGTGATTGAACTTTTGGCTTGTTGATAGTATAAATACAATTGTTGATATTTGATTGCGGGATACAAATGCAAATTATTTATTTTTCATCAAAACATGATTTTAACTCTTAATTCTTTGACAATGCTTTTATTTGTTGTTGGTGATTGGTAAATTATTAACATGTAAATTGAATTATTACAAAATCATGGGTAACAATTGATTAGTGATGGCAGCTTTTGAAATTGTTGTATCATGATTTTTACTGCATTTTCAAATCATCAATATACAGTTTTTTGTAAGGCAGGTTGAGTATGCAAGTAAGTCTTGATTGTTTTAATAAAATCATGTTCTAAGGCTCCCTTCACATTGTTTTAATAAATCTTGATTGTTTGAATAATCATGAATATCTTAGACCTACCTTGTGGAAGATGGAAGATAGCAGATGATCTGTATGAAGTTTGCTTGCTGAGGTTTTTACCGAAGTATTTTTCTCAAGTATTTTGGATAAAAAATTATAGAACTTTATCCACGGGATGAATTATTCATATTTTTGAGGAAGCCCAATCATATTTTGGATCATGGACTAATTCCATACCTCTCAAAAGAAAACCTTGAGGTGCAACATATCTTTGGAATAAGGTTTGTAATTTCGTATCGTATCGGAGTATTGAGTTTGGTACGGTACGGTACGGTGCGAGTATACCGAGCGATATGTTTTGGCGTATCGCTCGGGGGTGGTGTGTGTGTGTATAATAGAAAGTTAAAAAATAAAAAAAAGGGGCGACATCTCATCGTTTCTTCTCCCCACGTTGGGAGAAGAAAACCACGAAGCCTTGGCGACGTCGTCGAGGTTTCTTCGCGGGAAGGTTCTTCTCCCCGTGAGGACTTGGCAACATCGCCAAGGCTTCTTCTCACCATGCCGAGGCTTCTTCTCGTGCGGATTAGGAGAAATCGTCGACATCATCGAGGTCTCCCCGCGAAGCTTGGGCGACGTTACCGAGGTTTTTTCTCCTCGTGTCGAGGCTTCTTCTCCCCATGCGGATTAGAAGTCGTTGACGAAGTTGAGGCCTCGTCACCTCGGACGAGGAGGTAATATCTCATCCGCGGTGTTCGATGAGGGAGGGCGGCGACGGATCGAGATTGTTGAGGGAGAGCGGCGTCAGATCTCTAGGTTCTCCTTTTCTTCTCCCTCAGCTAATACCGCCCGGTAGCGAGCAACGACGGTTGAAATCGACTGTCACTGATTGATTTCGGGTGGTAACAGGGAGGAAACAGCCCCAATCGACATTATCGCCTGGTAGCGGGTGGTTTGTATACTGGTCTGTTTGTGGATCGGTACGGGCTGTATCATTCAAAATTAAAAACCCTGCTTTGGAAGATATCGAACATGTCTATGCATGTTACAAGAGCAACGCTAGCACAATCGGCATCATGTGAAGACTAAGGGGACTTAGTGAGAGGTTCCTCTGTGGCACCTAGCACAAACCAAACAGAATGACCTCTGTTGCCTTATCAAAATGTTGGTACACGGCATTATTATGTGAAATTCTCAGATGATATGGGTGTTAGGCAAATTTTAATATTTTTGAACAGCTACCCGAATAGCATCTCCTTGTTGATTGACAAATGTGAGTCACCTTGGTTGGGTTGTTTTGCACAGTCCTGATGCTGCTTGAGAATACAATAAGAACCTGGCAGACTGGTGCGACATGCTTGGTATGCAGGGTACATGATGGTATGACACCCTTGGTTGCAATGTCATGAGAGTCCTGCCTATGTCTCTATCAAATAAAAAAAGAGGAAGGAAAATGGGTTATTCAAGACATTGGGTACTATTATCTTGAAATTCACTATTGATACCAATTGGTAAGTTAACTCACTTCTTTTATTCCCAAGTTATGTGTAGATACATAATAGAAGCAACTTAATAGCAATAATCAGAATGGATCATAGCTAACCATTTGGTGACATATGACAAATTATTTAAGGTTTCATGTATCGTCTTATAGCTACTGACTTTGAAGAAGAAAAATCATCTACTAAAGATGAGGATGTTAATATGTTGGTGATCAATAATTCAAGTACAGTATGAGTTCCCATGAAAAGTTTGCATTCTGAGTTGGTTTCTGATCTTTATAATTGCTTGATTTATAGTAAGATGGGCTTAGGACTTGGGAGTGTACTATTTATAGATGGCTCAGTTCCAGAAACCTTGAATTCTGGAGCTGTTTTATTCCAATGTCCTTGTACTTCTACATGTAGATTGAGAGTTTTAACTTGTGTTTGACACCAGAATTTAAATATTTGTTGCTGGAGCAGATTTAGTCCCCCCTGTTTTGATTTTTGAAATAGTGATTGCTGGAGAAGATACATATAATGGTGGACCGAGTTTATGTGATTCCACACGACTAATTTTTAAGGGTTAAGAAGGAGAAATCTGTTATTAGAAAATATTACCTTGACCATTTAAGATATAACCATTCAGTGTTACAGAATGTAAGAGTTTCACTAGGGTTGTTTAATGTAGATATTAACTTTTAAAGTCTTCATTCCCTTGATCATTCTGGTCGGTAAAAAGTTTGTTCATTTGTTGTAATAATGGACTTCACTTGACCAGTGTTCATAATATTTTTCGCACAATTTTTTTTTATAAGGTCTGTAGTGTACCTTAAAACATTGGGCTTGTTCTTATACTATTTTGTGCACTTTTTACACAAAAAAATGCAGCTAATGCATGATACTAAATGATCAATCTGTTTTTCTGTTCTTCAACTTCCCTTCACCTGCTTGTTCACAATTCTATTGTGCTAACTTCACAGAGACTTTGGTGCATTCTACGCTGGAACCATGTGAGGATGCAGATTTTACATTTCCAGTCAATTTCAATTTTAAAGAGCACACAATTTATGTACGCTGCAGGCCTTATCTCAAGGATTTCTTGGAAAAGGTCGCTAGCCTGTTTGAGACAATTATATTTACAGCAAGTCAAAGCATATATGCTGAGCAGCTCCTCAATGTGCTTGACCCAAAAAGGAAATTATTTCGCCATCGTGTGTACCGAGAGTCATGTGTATTTGTGGATGGTAATTACTTGAAGGATCTGTCTGTACTTGGCCGTGATTTGGCTCATGTTATCATCGTAGACAACTCCCCTCAGGTTACAGTTTTTACATACTCTCTCAACAAGTCTGTTATTTGTATATTTGCAAGCTGGGTTCCAAGTAAATGCAAGATAAACCTTGCCATAATATAATGACAATTATAGCAATCTAACCCTATTTGCTTTCCTTATCTCCAGATGGTGTGTGCCATATATCATCGGCTTGTTCTTATCTGGAAATTTCATTGTCTCCTGGAATGAGAAACATATAGCTGTGATTTTTCTGATGATATTTTTGTTTTTGTTATCAGGCATTTGGATTCCAGTTGGACAATGGCATTCCAATAGAGAGCTGGTTTGACAACCGCAACGATCATGAACTGCTCTCGTTACTCCCCTTCTTGGAGAGCTTGGCTGGTACGGATGACGTTCGCCCACTCATAGCCAAGAAGTTTAATCTCCGTGAGAAGGTGGCTGCTGCTGCTGCCTCTTATCTCGCCTTAGATTTTAGAAGGTGACCACGAAAAGTAGAGCCCAATGCACGCAACATTGGAGCCTATCATCACATTTGCATGCTCTCCTGCAGCATATACTTTTCCTCTTGCAATACCTGTATCATTTGTTGCTATACTTTCTCAGAAGATTTTAGCTGGACTTATCCATTCAAAAATGTTGTCTAATCGTGTAGTCAATGGTGAATAAATATCGGTCATTTTGCTGTTATCATTCATGTTCGGCGTGCTTGCTTTCATTTACGGGTTTTGATTCTCAAGTAATGTATACTAGTGATGACTGTAGAAGGCAGAAACGCAGCTTATGCACCAGTTCTTCGAAGTTACGATGAATGTTTCATTTATCACAATGGAAGCTCCTGATGCTGTGAATCAGGTTAGTTCTCTCTTGATTAAATTATGAAGTTGGTATCATTATTTATCTGTTGCTCTTAATTCTAGCCGTTTGTTAGCTTTTCAACTTGATTTGTAGGTCTTCTTTTATAGCTGTTCTGATTTCTTTCGGGCACCTTGCCTCTAGTGAAACGTGGTCCGTTGAGTGAAACGTGGCTTGCTTCAACGTCCTGAGCTCGTCACACGTGGCGCTGAAGATGGCCACTCTTAAGACTATGCCGTGGGTACGGGGTACGTTGGGGATCAGGCGTGGCCCTAAGTGGTCGCTCCCGGTGGGGCCGCAGCTGGCCAACTGCCCTTGATGCTCCTTGATGGTCTCTCGTCGTGGGACGAGTGGGACTCAAGTAGTTTGGGGATGGTCCGTTGCAACCGGTTTGGTTTACCGGACCCAAAGGTGCAGCTGGTGGAGGGAAGAGAGGAAAATAATATCCGTATGTTCTCTCTCTCGCTCTCGCTCTCGCTCTCTCGAGCTGCGACTTGAGAGTATGCCATTCGAGGCGATCGCCTCCGCCTTCTTGGCCGCCGCTCCATCCCTCACCTTCCGCCGCTCCGTCGCGGGCCTTCCCCTGCCCTCGCAGCCCCCCTCGTCGTTCCTCCCGCGGTATCTCCCCGTCCGTGCCCTCATGAAGCGGAACCCCAAGCGCTTGAAGTACTCCGCTCCTCGCTTCTTCAAGGTCGGTCCCTCCCCCCCACCCTTCAATTCTCCCTCATCAACTTCGATCCGATTGTGGTTTAGGTTCTGTTGCGAACATACTTGGAATCTAACTCTCTCCTTTGCTTCTTGGTCGACAAATCCAAAAGAAATCGGAAGCAATGGTGTACGTGGAGATGGACCCCTTGGGGTCCGAGACTTGGAGGCTGGAGCCCGTCATCGAGCTTATCAAGGAAGGGGCCGTCGGTGTGATTCCTACTGATACCGTGTATGCCGTCACTCCTCTTCGTTTCATTTCTTCTCTACAATTCTGCGGCCTATTACGTTTGCCCTGTTTTGAACTTGACGCTTGGAAATACAGATTGCAGTTTCGTTATTGATTGTACCGTATTGATGATTCGGAAGATAAGTTGTGAAAAGTAACTTCTCGTTTTGTGGTCTACAGGAATAACATCGCCCTCGTTGTTAATAATATGAAATCATTGATCATGTTTCATCTGACCACTTTAAGTTTTTAGACGGTATGCAGGATGGTAATAGAGCCATTCATATCTTATCCAGCCCAACACATTAATTAATTGGAAACTTTATTCAAATCTACTACTGATGACTACATCAGCATATGAAAGCGATATCAATTGTGAGCTTTCACCAGTAATTAATGGACCATAGGAATTCCTATGTCTTCTGAAAAAAGAGTGTGCTATGGAAACAATATGATGCTTATTCATAGCTTTCTACGGTCTTAGCAAATCTCCATTGCATCATGCTATTGAAACCAGAATAATTAAATCTTTTCAGGTATGCCATTGTTTGTGATTTGAGAAGCTATTCATCCATCGAACGCCTCCGAAGGTAGTGTCCACGTTTCTTTTCTGTCATATTTGTAAATATATTTTCTTTACGATGATTATTTCTGTTAGACTTGTATGTCACGCAAACTTGTTTGACAAATTCTTTTCTTACACATGCAGAATCAAAGATATAGAAAACAAGAAGGCAAGAGTTACAGTTTGGAAGATTGGATACCATTGTTCATGAAGCTTAGTACTAGACCAAATTTCCCACTTTGTCAACAATATATAATTTTGTTTTCCAGCTGATAATGCAAAATATATTGTTTAAATTTTAGTGTCTTTGTGGTTATTAATTGCAGAACATGTTATTACCTTTTTCGTCTATATTCTGCATTAGTTCTGATTGATTCAATGTATTTATGCAGCCTCTCAGTATCTTGTGTCACTCGTTTCAAGACATAGATAAGTACACAGTTGGTTTTCCTCGTGGTGATGGACGTGGACAAACAAACATATTCAGAACTGTTAAGCACTGTTTGCCTGGGCCTGTAAGGAAGATAATCTTGCAGTTCTTTGAAATTGAAATTTTCTTTCATCCTGAGATGTGGTTAACTGATAGCAGTTCTTGTTGAACAGTATACTTTTATTCTTCCTGCAACCAAAGAATTACCAAAACAGTGCATAAAATCTGGACGGACAGCTAGATATGAGTCAAGAAAGCACGTCGGTGTTCGCATGCCAAATGATTCTATCTGTCAGGCCATATTGCAAAATCTTGATGAACCCCTGGTTTCCACGAGGTTGGTTTGAATTATTAAGCTAAAAGACAGATTCGATCTCTTTCTCTCACACACATTTCTTTTAATAATCAAACGACTGCACTGTCATGCTGAACTTAGTGTGAAGTGGCCTTCAGAAGATCAGTGGATGCTAGATCCTGTCATAATTGCAGATACTTATGAGCCAGAGGTATGTTCCCTGTTTTCACTTATTGTTTGAATTTGATGAATAAGGCTCTCTCTCTTCCTCCATCACATAAAATAAATTTATTGAAACTGACATTTTTAAGTGATGATAATGATATCATTGACGCATGTGTGAATTCTTTAATTCTCTGAAATTATACATATCTTCTTGGTAGTTGAACCATAAGTTCTTGGGTTGTATCTCATTTTATGTAGTACATTTTTTACTGTGATATATTTGTGCCTAAGTCATCCAAATAGCTCAGTTAATTCAGTTGCATGAGCTTAGATCATTTGCAAAAGGCAATCTTCCTATTCATCACCTCACCCTCTGGGTCCTGCTATCTGCCTTGTTTTGAAACTTCACATATATCATCAGGATTTCCGCTCTAGGTGATCCCTAATAGCACAAATCTACTTTAGTCATTCTATGGAGACTTTAACAGTTAAAAGACTGCTATAGAACCAGACAAATTTGATCAAGAGACAAGACTAATAATAAGGTCTTTAATCACATTAGACATATGCAAAGCCTAGAAGGAACAAAGGTAGTAATTCTGGTTCTTCTGTATTTTGAGAATCCTTCTATCATATATTTAGTTAGTTTTTGTTCATCAAATGATACATTTGCCTTTTTAACATTTTAGTGTTCAACCCGATCTTTTGTTGTTTGACATTTTCCAGGGACTTGATTTTGTTGTTGATGGTGGTATTAGAGTTGCTGATCCATCCACTGTGGTTGATATGACAGGAAAATATCCAACAATTATTCGTCAGGGAAAGGTATGTGGATATAGAAACCTAAAACTAAAGGCATTACCCCCTTCTGTTTCCTATACCATGGTTATATTGATGTCTTTGCTGAGTTTCTGTGCACATATAATAAATTAAGGGAAAGAAAGATCTGCAAACCAAATTTTCCCTGTGGCTTTTCAGATTTTTTTCCTTTGTTGGAATTTTTATAATTTTCAGACATTTTCTTCTTTGACTAAGACGGTAATATGACAGAAAAGTTGATATGGCACAACCAAATGTGGTGTCATATCCATACCATATATCTTCACCAAGCCAATCATTTTCATATAGTTGAAAACTTAAGGACAGAAGTCGTCCTACTTGAATCTTTTAGTTCTATGGATACAGTTTTTGTTCCTTTAGATTTGAATTAGTCTGTGTTGCTTGGTTGACCATTTCCTTCATTGTTATTCTCCTTCAGAAATCAGGGGCAGGATTGGTCAAGCAACTTTTTTCAGCTTGTGTTATGTGAGCTAAAAGGTTGCATCATTAACCTTCTTTACTTAGAAGGGCTTATTATATAATATATTATGCCAACAAATATTGATTATTCTATCTTGATGTAAGAGAAGGCATTTAAAGCATTAGTGTTTGTCAACACTCACAATGCCCACTTCAACTTGGTGAGAATATGAAAAATGATATTACACTTTGTAAAAAGAGGTGGGTGATGAAGTAATTACTGTTCTTAGGTTTTGTAAAAAGAAATGCAGTCATACAGTAAATGGCGAATTATGCAACAGAGTGTTTCCAGTCATACAGTAAATGGCGAATTATGCAACAGATTTTGTTAAATTTGTTTGTCACCAGAGAAAATTAGATGAAGGAACAAAGTGTTTCCAGTTAGCAATTAAGAAAGTATATATGTGGAACTGCCTCTATTGATGAAAAATTATGGTCATTTAGACAGAATTAGTCAAGTGATCTGGAAGTCTTGTTTTTTCTTTATATGTAGCAGAAGCCTTCAAATATCAAAGCTGTTTTTAACTCTATTTTCAAAGTTATAAGTGCCTATCAAAGAAGAAGAACCAAGTTCAGGTAATTGAATGTGTTGGTGTGACTTCATCAATCATATGATTTTGGATTTGTTAGTGTTAATCTTTGCTGCCAATGGATGGTTACATTTGTCGAAGCAAATTATCAAGTTCATATTGCTGTGAGTCTGTCAGTAGAAGCATCTATTAATTATTGGTTCCAGAAATTGTTTCTCGGTAAATGATTTTTCTCCAACACGCCACATAAAGAATGTCCATCTCATTTTATTGTTATTCAGGGCCCTAAGCTGGAGTGGATGATAGTGGAAGGCGAGGATTATGGTGGTGACCCAAGTGAGTTGCCTTTTCCCCAGGTAGCTTGAAGGTATTACTATCTCCCCCAATCTCATGATCATGCTCGTGTTTGATTGTGAACATCAATTTGGAAATAACCGTCAGTTTACAGAACGCCAAGCGACAGAGATGTCAGGAAGTGAAAAAGAAGGTGCTGTTAACATACCTTCAATATGATGTTGTGTATATATAGCTAATAAGATATTGTGTTGCAGTCTTTTATCTGAAGATTAACATGCAGAACATTTGATACTTTGTTCTGGTATTCCCAGTGTTGCGGTATCATTAAGGTAACAGAAGATGGGTTGTCCTAATCTGAAGCACATTGTTTCTTATTGTGGTTGCTGAAAATTGCTGGTTATTGTTGACTTTTGTACAAAATTGCCTCGGTTTTTTTGAATAAGATATTCTGTTCTATGAATTTAAATTGGGGCATCAGATCAAGAATGTTTTAAGCTATACTGTTAACTTGCTTTTCCCTTCCATTCTGGGAGTTGGTTCGTTGGGCAATGTCTTGGGGATCTGGTGATTCTATGAACCTTCTCTCCCTAATCTATGAATATTTTTAGGCTGATTTGCCTGTCAATTATTATAGTTCAAAAGATAATAGATGGACATTCGGTCGATATGCATGAAATGAAGAGAATATAGGTTTCTAATCCTTTCGGCTTCGTCATCGATATGCATGAAATGAAGAGAATATATTTGTTTTATTATCTTTAACAGCCAGGCTGATCTGCGTCTCCCGTTTTAAGAATTTGCAAGCATTTTATTTGAGCTACAACTTAATTACATCTAGATATCTTAGTTGGTGCCAGGTGAAAAATTGGTGATGTTCTAGTCAAGTCAAATCGACATGGATTTTCTGACTTGATTTTTGGACGTTAAGTTAGTGTGGAGATGATAGATGAAAATTGTAAAAAGTGTCTGACATTGATTATTAAATAAAAAAGTAAATTTTTATATTGGGTAATAAAGGTGAAATATTCAAGGGATAACTTAGTAATCATTTTTTTTGTAGTCATGTTCACATGACTAGTAAGGATGTCAATTATATACTCGTAGGTATGAGTATTCTAGGAAAGACATTTTATATTATTCACGTAAATATGAGTTGAATAAGTAGAGCATTCCTTATCCTGCATTTGTACCCAGTCCATTAATAAGTATGATAAGATGATAAGCCCAAATATTTGAGGTACCCTCAGGGGTTGGTTCCGTTGGACTCGAAAGTCTTTTGAGATATAGAAACTATAAAGAGTTTCTATGATTAGGACTTTGTTTTAATCATAGGTCATTTAGACTACTTACATACCAAGTACTTTATTCCGATTGAGTTTAAGATGTAGGTACCTTGACTAAATCAACGTCCTTATAACCCAATGTTTAGGTTATTTTGACTGTCTTGGATGTGTTGAACGTTGGAGTTCAATTCCCCCTCTAACCACTAATAGTAGTGTGCATCCAATGGTGGAGGATCTCACCTTTCCAAATGATGCCTAACTCGTGGTGGTACCTCATCGTGGAATGTTGATATACCGACATAACCTCAACTTGCAAGCTTTTCTTTGCTTGCTTTCTTCTGTGCAAAGGACCAAGTGGCCACTGTCTTACTCTTTGGGAGGGTTCAAGATGATGAGGGGTGCTGCCTCAACTAGCAACAAAGGTTGGAAGAAACATTTTATCTTCAAAGGCACGGGTCGAGACAAGGGGTTTACTATTGTAGGAATGGATCACTAAGCAATGAAGAGATATAATAGAGCTGGTTCATCCAAATTCTTTAGGAGCCAACACAGAGGTCCCAGTCCAGATTGGAGCTAATAGACCTCTGGCCCCCGAAGAAGAAGAAGAAGATGATAACGATGAAGGTTGTGCATTCTCAGGCTATTATGGCCCTCAAGCCTGTCTGATCGAAGTCTCATTTTGAGATACTATAGAGACCCAACTCTCCATAGTGTACCCTTTGCTTTTGATCAGTAAAAGTTTCTTTCCGCAACTCTGAGTCATCGTTTTTTTACACTCGAAACCCAAAATACTTGCTGACCCGACGCAAGGCGGCACGGCACGGCACCTGACACCTGAAATAGGCCTTGGGGGTAAAATTTTACCACGCAGCTTTCTCGACACCCTTCAAGATGCAATATTATATCAGAAATACTTTAGCACTTGAATTCAGCATGAGTTCTAAAACGAACAAGAGCAAAAAAAAAAAGCTGCAGTACCCATAAGTGTCCAAGAAATCAGTTTGTTATGGAGGATAGACAGCATTTATATGTTATGTTCTGAAATGCAACATCACAAATGACTCTCGTTTAGCAGCAAGTCTCGAGCACATCAAGCGAGGAATGGCTGCTGCATCAAAGCCAATGTGCTTCCTGGAGAATATGTATCTTGCAATGGTAATTAAGAAACTCTGTATTTAAAGTCAACTAAGGCTCTTGAAACTTGACTAAAATCTGTGTCATTTGTGGTTGGTGCTTCCTAACCTACAAATACAATAGAGGAGATTAAGCCTACATCAGATAACAATCACATTTTTACATATTAAGTCAACCACAAGTAGTACCTTGACACCAGCCATAGAAAGCAACTTGTGAGAGGCAATATATGCAGCATCAGAATTGCCAATCCTTTTATCCACATAATAGATGACCTCAGAGACACCAGACTGCAAGAACTAAGCATCATCAGAGTCAAGTAATGACCTAGCAAAACCGAACATACATCAGACATAGTTGAACTCGTGACAGACTGCTAACAAATACACAAAAGGCAAACTCTACTTGAAGTAACAAATCGAGTTTCCAGACGAAAAAGCTCGGTCAAAGGATTCAGGATACTTTTGTCTCTCTAGTCATGGAAATTGGGAATTCAATCTCATCGTGTCATTCGCTTTTCATTTTTAAGATAAATCCTTCTCTATTCTTCAAACTAAAAGAAAGATAAGCTTCTCTCAACTTTTACAAAAGAAAATTACATAACTACAAGTGAATCCTGAAGTCCAAGGAAAATTGATAAATTTGTTGGTGCCTTTGAAGGGTTGACATCCTGTCGATAGCAATTGATAACATTGCATTCAAATTCTATGGGCCTTTTAGATAATAATTAATGATCTATAGCTAAATTAACATTGATAGAGAGAAGCTGGAAGAAAATTTATGTCACCCTTGGCAACTACTCTGCACTCACTACTACATTCCCTATTTTTCTTATGTAAAAATATCCGATGAGTTGATAATCTTTAGTCTACTCGAATAACAACTCTACTAGAACTCAAAAAATAACAATTCAAGTTTTTTTCTTAAGGTAAGCAGTTGATAAGAAGCCCCTAAAGTGAAGCCCATTCCATGCTGTTCCTCGTTAGTGTAGCCTAAAATAGCCTTCTCAACCCATCTACCAAAGAAATGATGTGATCCTAATGTGAAACCCAATTGGCTAAAAGCTCTCGTTCTACATCTAGAGGTCTTTCATCTTATTGCCTAAGAACAGATAGGTTCAGTAAATTTTAACAAACTCATCAACAGAGGCATCTTGATATGGCAGCACCATCATGATAATAATAACAATGAGTATCATAGTCATGTTATTGAGTATCATAGTCATGTATAGAAGAAGCAAAGTGCCATGATGATGGGGAATAAGAATGAAATAGTACACATTTAAGGCCACTCATGTTCTTAGTCTGTCAATTTTATCAATTCCACGACAATTTATATCAGAACCCAAACTAATTGCTTGTGATGTGGAGCAATAGGTGGCTTTCAGCATGATTTGCTTATGTCTTGCTTATATAAGATGTGAAAGATAGAAATTCATAATAACTCATGTTTGTTCTTCGATGCATGCACTGTATGCAATAATTTAATGCACTCATAAATTTCAAGAGAAAATCCTGATGGGGTTCACAAATAATTTTGATAAATCATTCTCTGACTCTAACTTTCACACTCTTCTCATATTTATTCTGAATGCATCACTTTTGAATTTTCTGAATGTCAACACTAAGATGACGAGCAGGTCGATCAGTTTCCAAACGAAAAGCATCAACTATGTAGCCAAATAATCCTTGGGTATAATGAACTCTTTAATGTTTGAATAATTGAATCTACAAAATGTCTAAACAAAACAAGTAATATGACAATCACTAATCTACTACATTTATTCAGAAGACCAGGGAAGATGCATGAGAAATCCATAGAGACACCAGTTAATGCAGAAAACATACCTGGATAATAATCTTGGCACATTCATTGCAAGGGAACATTGTAACATACAATTTCTGCAAAAGTCACCAGATGTCAATTCTCTGTCTAGATTTACCCACTAAACTGTAGCGGAATAAATTGAAACCAGTATAAGGTTTCTTACTCTTCTTACGGAGAGACAGAAAATCACTACCTAGCACCTCTAAATTGCAACAAAAGTTATTACCAATTTAGTTTAAGATTTAAGATTACATGTAACCGCTACTACGTTATGGCATGCTATAGCCATTGAGCGAAAAAATATCATGCATCAATGAAGATCCTATAAGCAGAATACTTCAACCCTTCCTTTCAAACGGCGTTTATCAGTAATTCTTGGAGCTTTTGCACATATTTTAAGTATTGTATATAAAGTCACAATCATAACAACATCAAGGAAAGCTCAAATTATGCATGCTAAATTGGCTTCGGATAATGTCAAAAGAACTTCAGGCCAAAATGACAAGCATATGGTCATAAAGCTTCCTATCTTCTCAAAAGACAAAAAAAGAGCAAAGAAATACATCTTATAACCAACAATATATAAGTCAGATCTGTTAAAAGCAATCCATTATATACAAAGTGACATATCACTGTCTTATGTTAATTAGACGATTCCTTTTGACACCTTTGCACATACAAAATGATTCTCCTGTGTCATCCATTCTTACCTCACAGATCAGGGATTATCATGTCATCTATACCCTCATTAATGAAAGACCGGTGATTTAAAAAACGCTAGGTGCCAAGGTCCAAAAACGCCCGAGGCGCGAGGCGCTCGCCCAGGTGCTCACCCGAGCGAAACGAGGCGCTAAAATATAAAAATATATAATATAATTAATAAATATAATTATTTAAAATTTTAAATAAAAATATTCTATTAAATTAAGAAAATCTAAGATACAAAATCACAATAATATATTATTAATCTATTAACAATATTGAAAATTAATCATTTCAAATAAACTTAATAATATTAACAGTATACAGTATACGTATACTGTTAAAAGGAAGTGTAAAGGGGTGCTAAGCCTACTGATTGAGAAAAGAGGAAGTGCCAACGGCAAGCGGCAGCAGCGGCAGCGGGAGGCGCGAGCGGCGACAGCAACAGCGTTTGCGAGCAGCGACAGCGGCGAGCAGCGGGATCGGGATCGGGAGCGATAGCGACGAGGGTTAGGGTTCG